ACGCTCTTTCATCCTGTGGACGTTGTAACACAAGTAAGTATAATTAAACCCTTGCAAAATGTTGACCAGGTGACTATGTGAAAAGTCAGTCTCCCAGAAAAAAAGTTTTAATATCAGAGCTTCTAGGAAGCTTTATGTTTGCACTAGATAGCTGTAAAGTAACAACTAGTAATTTATTCCTTCTCCCCCCACTATCCATATTAAGGATCAAGGAATCTTCAGCTTAACTTCCTCTCCTGTTGCCACATACCATTTTTATCTGACAGAGCAAATGACAAAGTCCAATCTGGTATTTCCTCTGCCCAAGTGATGCAACTAGCGAGCCCCAGCCAAGAGATGTCATGTGCTGGTGCTGGAATTAACTCAGGCAAGACACTCAGCAAAGACAGACTTTTAAGTCCATCACAGCCAGTCATAAAGTTGGGATTCATAAGCTTCAGGCTATGAACACAAACTCAAGCTCCAACTTCACCAATTTCAATTCTCAGACCACTATGTTGTAAAGTTTATTGCCTTACTGCCTACTTCCAAAACTTGCTATTCCATTTTAAACAATTAACATTTCCCACTAAGCTTTCACTAATACGAGTAAGGGAATAACAATCTTAATTTTGTGGAATATATCGATTTGAACACACTCTTTTCAGAAAATGTTACATGTGTTTATGTCCATGTTGCCTTTCAGTTTTATTTCTTTAAAAAAAAAGTCTCCCCTCACTGATGAATGGAAGCATCGAAATAACTGCTAGGCTGAACAGAAAAGTTAAGCCTCTGAAGAATTATGAAAGGCACAAGGGAAAAAAAGTCGTAGCCATTATAATATTTATATCCCGAAATATTAGGTTGGGAATCCTACCTTCAGAGGAGGCTAAGTTTATTTTAGACTATGTCATACCCCTCACCCCAAACAAGAACAGAATTAGTATTCCTTATTTTAGATTTTGAGACAGTATTTAGGTAAGAGTTGTACGATGCAGAAATTCAGAAACTCGTCTTAGTATCTGTAATAACAGCCTTCCTCCAAACACTAAGAACACAAATTTAAGATCTGGTCATAACAAATCTCCTCTTTGAAAAAAAAAAAAAAAAGAAAGAAAGAAAGAAAAAAAGGAGAGTACAATCGTATGTCCTATATGAAACCCTTCAAACAAAAACGAATATTAAAACAAGAGTATACTTTAAAAAGCCGTGTATTGGAGTGTTTATAAACCAGAAGTGTTAAGCAGCAGCAGTTTCCGATTTCTTATTAAATTCAACTAGACTTCAAATTTAGGAACACATTACAAACCAATGCGGAACTATGCTAGCTCATACTCAAACCTTTGCAGGTGTTTCAGTAAAGAAAGCCTCCTATGAGAATAAACAGAGGCAGCATATTACATTAAGTCAACACTTGCCTTCAACATGCCAAAAAACCTGTGTGTTATATGTCCATTTGTCACCAAAGCACCCCGTACGAGATGCATTATTGCTGTAGAACATTTCAAGTTTACCAACACCCAAGTGCAACCAAACTGATGTTGTATATATGCACTTGCCCATTCTCACCAGTATTTCCACTTAATAACGGTTTCTCTTTACACAATCAAATTTAAAGCTTTGAAAATAACATTGTTTGATTTTAGTTTTTCTTCCACAATATTAATCACCACATGCAATTTAGTTTTCTGATCATTTTGCTAAAAAACTGCACCAATATCAGAACAGTGCAAATCATATTTAATTTTAAAAGTTATAATGGCTTGAGTTCATAATTAGAGGGAACACTGTCAAGATCTTGATATTTTGCTCACTCACCATTGCTTGCATTCCATTAAAAACAAACATTTTCCTGTCAATTTTACCTTTTTAAAACAATAGTTCCCCCTTGCTTTTATCAGAGCTGAAATTAAGGATATGATCCACAATTTCAACACATGTAGTGCCTTAATAGCAATGTTTTTCTGCACTTCCGTCAACTGTTATAATTCCATAAATACATTATCCCCCCCTGACATATTTCCAGGCTAACAACTAGTCACTAGCACTTGTGATCCCACAAGTGTTTTAAGTTTTTCAGCAATGGAGAGATTTCAAAATTAAGAAATCTGAGGACTTCCCCTCTCCTATAGCCCCCAGTGTTTTCATTTTATAGCAAGTTCAAAATTGGTTTCCACATCTTGACAGTGTTCCTTATAAAACCATATGACAGTAAAAGTGCCAGTAGGCATGGCAACCTCTTTGAAGGGAGCATTTAAACTCCTTGGCACTGGGAATGCCAGCACCAAGGATTACATTGAAATTCAAAATTATACTTAAGGCTACAATTAGCAAACCCACTTTCCATAAGCCTAATATTCTATCACTAGATTTGAAAATTCAGAAAGCTAACGCAACTGTATACTTTTATGCTCAAATCTGAGGAAAAAAATTACTTTTCTTTAGCAAGGGCAGTATATGAAACTGTGGTAGTAAATGTCTCTTACGCATTGACTACTCATTTCACCACCATTCACTTACTTAGTCTTAAAAGTTCAAAACTGGCAAGGCACATTTACATATTCCAATGAATACTTGACAATTTTAAATTACACTTCATGTCCCAGCTATCCCAGTAATTGACATACAACATACTAAAATGGTTTATTAAGATAACAAAAAAAAAATCAACGTGAAATATACAGGCTATTGGCAACCACTATTCTAAAAATTATGTAAATACAAGTAAACATACTGAAATGTGTGCGATTCTAAGTTTTTAACCAGAAGATCTCTGTACTAACACACATTTATATTAATGACACATAAAAAAAATAAAAACTTTATTACAAAAATAAGTTACACTCGCCTCCAGCTTACAGTATAAAACAAT